AGCATCACCTGGCTGTGATGGAGGAGCTGGTCCGCAGGGATAAGAACAGGCCCTCAGTGGTCATGTGGTCAGTGGCCAACGAGCCGGCATCGGAGCTGCCCCCAGCTGCTCACTACTTCAAGTAAGTGCCTCTGCTCCTCATCTCTTGGCAGCTGATGCCTCTTCTTCCTTTGGGATGGCACAGAGAGGTAGTAAAGGGAGGGCAAGCATTTTCTGGGAACCCTGGAACTGAACCTGCAGATGCAAACTGAAATGGAACAGCTGCATGTGTCAAACAGATGCTCAGAACTGTCCCAGCGTGTTGGTTCTGAACCACCAGGGCTCCACAAAATTACCAGGAGTCCATTTGGTTTGAGCATCTCTTCTGGAGCTAAGGGTGAAGTAAAATCTTGGTGAGAATGGAACATTCCTTGTTAGCACTGGCAGATGAGTGCTGAATCCTTTGAGAATTACAGCAAAGCTGTAGAATAACTGGTCTTTCATCATGAACACAAGGTTCTGCAGTTAGTGCTGCTTATTTGTTCTGTGCCTCCCCACTTCAAAGCCACTGCTTTGAGTCCCTGCAGTCCCCTTGGTTGTATTTCTAAAGAGATTTAAGCTTTGGAGAGCCCAGAGGCAGCTGTGTAATGGGCAGCAGGCTGTCCCTGGGAGCTGTAGGTGCATTAAGAGAGAAATGTGAAGTTTCATTCTTCAGGATGTTCTACCACCCTCCTGCAGTGTCAGGGCAGCAGCAGAGCTTCACTGTCCCATTCTGTCCCATCTCCCTCACTCAGGGCTTCCTCAAAAGCATCCAACCTCTGCCTGCTGTGGCACAGGGCCTCAAGAACACATCCCAGGAGTTGTTCAGAAACTTCCCATTGCCCTTTTTACAGTTTCATCCTCAAACTCAACTATCCCTTCAACTTCTGAGCTGCTGGCACCACCCCATGTGCCTGTGCTTGGTGTGCTTGCACTGTGCTCTCTTTCAGGTGGCAGATACTCCCTTTGTTTCATTAGAACACTGGCTGCTAAATCAAAAGCAGCTCTGTGTGTGGGTGGAAGGACAGAGAGCCTGGGGAGAGGGGGCTGTGCTTCTCCACGCTGTTGTTGAACTCTTGCTTTACTGTTTGCAAACAGGACAGTGATAGCTCACACTAAAGCTCTCGACCCCTCCAGACCAGTCACCTTTGTGACAGATGCTAATTACGCTCTTGATCGTGGTGTAAGTTTGCTTCATTTTCTAGCTTTTTCTTTTTTGTTGTTGTTGTTTTTAATTCATACATTAAATTTCCTCCTCTTGTTTTATAGTCCTTTCCCCACCTCCTTCCCTAAATTTACAGGAGGTATTTAGCAGGGAAAGGCTAAAGAAAAATTACGTTTTTGTTTCTAGTAGAAATCTCCTTATCCTGTAGTTGTAGTGCAACAACAAAAAAAAAGGATCTGTAGGAGAGAACAATTCTTTGTGTGCAGGATTATGTCCCTGAATTCCATAAATATTGTCATGCTTTGCTGTGCCATTGATTGTGTTTACTAATGCTCAGGAATTTCACTTGCAATTAAGCCAAAGCTTAAACCTCTTTAAAATGCTCACAACCCTTATGGAAGTCTAAAGGAAGGAAGCTTTGCTTTAATTCCTGCTTTAAACTGCTCTAGATCTTCTTTGGCAGATGTCTCTTTGTGTTGAGTAATCTAAAAGCTCCTCCAGCTCCACAATTAAAGCCCTAGAGCTGGATAAATAACCAAAAGGCACTTTCCTTGGATTTTTGGGCCTTTCATAGCATGGACCAAGGATTTTTTAACACCTGTATTTGTTTCCAGGGTAGATCCTTGTACAGTAATCATTTCTAGCAGGTGAGTTGGTGCTGCCACACATCCCTGCTCCAGGTTAGACTTTGGATTTCTTCTAAAATGTGCTCTAATTAGCAGGAATGGCTGCAACTCTCAGGTTTTTCTTCCCTACCCCAGAAAAAAACAAAACTCTGATGCTTTAAATTTGAAAGAGCCCAGCAGGAATTTGCTTCTGGATGTCCCATTCCCACTCTGCCCAACTGGAGAAGCTCAGGCAAACAAACCCAAAGAACAGATCTCATACACTGATGTGATATTAGAACTTTTTTCTTTTTCTTTTATTACAAAACATGTTAAGAGAACATTGAACAAGTTACATACAACATCACTTTATCTTGAGGGGGCTTTGTGCCCTTTTATCACACTGTCCATGTGGTAGAAATGGCAAATAACTTGCAGAATGCTTTAGTCTTAGTATTGCACCATTGATGCACAAAATTTAGTTGCTAGTCAAAATATTTGACCACTCACTTGATAATCACATTCCAATACTCAAAAAGAAAAAGTACATCTAAATGTACCAGCAAGCCAGAGACATCTTGGAAACAAAAAAAACTTCTAACAAACCTGAGAATGAAACGTGTTGATCTTGTCTAACTCTTTGCTGTGATTTCCTAATCTGTAAGAAAAATTGCCAGATTAATGCTGTTAGCTTATTAAATTTATCCTTTTTCTTTTTTTTTTCCTGGGAAAAAGATGATGTTTGGAGGGCCTGAGTGATGGGGGAAACAATTCTTTCCACGTGTAATAAACCTGGATTCCATTAAATGAACCCAAAGGAGAATTTAGGTTTACAAGACAAGGTTGAAGTCTGTGCCAAAACACTCTCACCTTGTTTTTTGCAGGCTCCCTACGTGGATGTGATTTGTGTGAACAGCTACTTCTCCTGGTACCATGACCCAGGCCACCTGGAAGTGATCCCAGTCCAGCTCACAGCCCAGTTTGAGAACTGGTATAAAACCTACCAAAAACCCATTATCCAGAGTGAATATGGAGCAGACTCGGTGCCTGGGCTGCACAGTGTGAGTGTTGTGCTGTTTGCCAGATGAAAACAGCTCTTACAAGGCAGCAAAATGGCACTGGGAGAGGGTGGCACCACTGGGCCTGGTTTGCTGTGAGATGCTTTAGTGTGCAAAAGGCTCCAGGATTGGGATCCTGCTCCAGCAAAACCAGTGAGCTTTGCCACTCACTTTGTTTAAAGAGGACTCCAAAACCTGTCCTTGGCAGTGGTAGAAAATGCTTAAATGAAAGCAAACCCTGGAGAATGGAGGTTTTGTGGTGCTGTCCCTGACATGACAAAAGCCACCAAGGGAATTCCCCCTGGAAATACCTGGAATTTTGTGTTTGCTAATGGTCACAACAGCCATGTTAACACAGCACAACCAGCAGACCAGGCAGCCACAGAGTTTCTGTTCAGGAATAGCTCCTCAGGCAGTGGGAATGGCTGTGCTGGGATGGTTTGTCCCCTCACCCTGTTCTCCTGGCTGCAGGACCCACCCCTGATGTTCAGTGAGGAGTACCAGCAGGCCATGCTCAGGGCGTACCACTCCATCTTTGACAAGAAGAGGAAGGAGTACGTGATCGGGGAGCTCATCTGGAATTTTGCTGATTTCATGACCAATCAAGGTGAGCTTTTATTTATATTCCAAACACCTCTCCATCCTCCCTGGGAGTTAAGTGGTTGAAGCCACACAAAGACTGTGCTGAAGGGTAGGACAAAAGGCCCTCTGTTCACCAGGATGGAGCACAGCTGGTTTTGTCACCAGATCCAGCATGACCAGAGCCAAGAGGGAAGGTCCTGCCTGTGCTTAATTCATCCTTTCTCCTGCACAGTTGCTCCCAGGAACATGAGGCAATGCACAGGGGAAGCTTGTGAGGAATCCAGGTTGCTCCTGGGTTTTGGCCACCCTCAATTGAGAGCTTCAGGCAGCTGTCAGGGACATCTCTCTTGTTTCCAGTGTCACCTACAGCTAGCCTGGGAACAGAGCACCTTAAATAATCCATATGAACTTGGTAGAGGTTTAGCAGTAGAGGAGCAGATGCCACACTGGCACAACAGCTGTGTCACTGTGACACTCCACCATGCAGATAAGTGCAGTCACAAAGGAAGGGAAATTCCTTCATTTACAGTGCAGTCCCACAGAAATTAAACAATCACAACTCAGATCTAGTAATGAACCTGTTCTGCTTATGCCACCTGCAGGGGGTTGGGGTGGTGAGCAGTCAGTGAGAGGGAGGAACAGCACTAAAATACCCTGCAGAGCACCAGGACAGGCTTTAGAAAGCTCAGTGATGGCAGTGGCCAGAAAAGCAGCATCAAAAAGGACTGAGAACATGTAGACAAGGTCACACACAGATGCAGTTCCAGTCTCTCTATGTGTTGCAATCTTCTCTCATTTCCTAGGAAAATTAAAACAGGCAGAAAGGATCCAGACACCACACAGGACAGTAAACAGTCATCATTATTTCCTCCATTCAATCTGAAGGTGGAGCCAATCTATTGTAGATATAACACTAATCAAAGGGCACACCCCAATTAAATGTCCCAGCTCAGCAGCTGTAAAAAACAAGGAATTGCAGCTGGATTGCTCTGTCACAGCCACGGATCCTGCCAAGCTCCCTGCTGTACCTGACCGTGCAGAAGAAAGTGCAGAGGTCTCTTCCACCTGGCCAGATTTAGTACCTACACTGTAACAGCTCCCAGCAGGGCCTGGAAGAGCTTGGTTTATATATTTTATTTTATAATTTCTCTGCAGGGACCACACGAGTTTTGGGGAACAAGAAAGGAATCTTCACCCGCCAGCGCCAGCCTAAAGCAGCCGCATTTGTTCTTAGAGACAGATACTGGAAGATTGCAAATGAATCAAGCTGTCTTCCTCCTGTAATAACATCACATTCCCTCTTCCTAAAATGAAGACAAAGGGTTTAGTGGCTGGGGATTATGTTAAAGTTGTTATTAAATTTCTGTTTAAATAAGTTTTATGCCTGATTCAAGTCGTGCAAGTCCAATGCGATTTCTAATCCACCTGAAGTAGTTACTGTGATGCAAAGCAGGTCAGAAACTTCTGTTTCCTCTGCTCAGCCATGTCTGGAGGCTTCCTGTTTCCAGGCAGGAAGACAAATACTTTCAAGAAGCTGAAGTTAAGAAATCCTGACTGAGGTATCTGTTTATGGCAAAAAAATTACAAATATTACATGATACAACTCAATGCTGAACTTAAAACAAAATCTAAGTTACTCTAAATGAACATCACATCCCTCTAAAGCAAATGAGGTTTTCCAGTTCAACTCCCCTAAGAGTTAACACTACTGAGATGACAGCAAACTGCCCCCAGGATTGCAAGGGCAGAGTTTGTGCAGCTGCTCTGGCCTGACAGGATGGATGTGTGAGAAATCCTGAGCATTCCCAGCAGCCAGGAAGGGTGTGAACTACCCAACATACTCCAACAGAGTTTGGAATTCCTGTTCCAGCAGCAAGGTGGAATGTTAGAGAGGGAGGGACTACATCGACTCAACTTTAAATCTATTTATTCTACAGTACCAAAACTGCCACTATTAGACACAAGCTGTGTCTAACAATGCCACTTCCACTGTGGAAGGGCTTCCTTCATATTAAATGTCATCACAGGAAGAGCAGCCCAGAGGGAAATTCTGTTCCAAACCTTTCTGAGAGTGGCCTGAAGCCCTCTGGGGTAGGGCCAGGTATAAATCCTGGTGCTGCTTCAGTGATGTCCCTTTAGGGCTTTAGCCTGGCATGGATCACACACAGAAAAACTCAAATATTTAGTCTGCAAACTTCCCAGCGTTGTCCCAAATCACAAGGAGCAGAGCAACAGAAGCAGAGGCTGCCCAGTGCATTTGGGAAGTGACAGTTCTGGAGTTTGATCACTGGAATTCACAGATTCTGGGTGAAACTGCTGCCATCACTCCCTGTTCTGCAGCTGCCTCTGCTGTGAGTGGCTCAGGAAAGTGACTGAATCTGACCATATAAAGAAAATATTTTCTTTTCTGTTGTGTGGTGGCCAAATTCTGGTCCCTTCAGAGGTGGCACACGAGGAACCAACAGCATCTTCCACCCTGCCCCAGCAGAATAAGGACACAGATGTTCACTGCAGACTCCACAACAATTTTTCTTGTGTTTTTAAGGGAAAGGAACACTACAGCATTCCTCACACCCTGCTAGGCCTAGATTTTCTCCAGAACTAAACCCCCAGAATATAAAACTCTATGCACAATAAAAAGACATTTGTTCAAACACACCATGGTATGAGCAATTCCTGTACTTAAGCCCACTAGCAGTGTTTGAAAGTAATTTCAACTTCTCCATCTCTAGCCATCCTTAAAACCTCACTTTCTTCCCCAATTTCAACAGACCTGACCAAAACACAGATGAAGATTTGACACTGGTCACTCCTTACAAACCAGGGCTCAGCTCAGCCCCCCCAAAATCTGAGGGTTAATTCCTGCTTGTTCTCAACAAACCCAACCCTGCCCAGCAGCTCCCTCCCCAAATCCAGGGACACATCCAGCAGTTCCCAGGGATTTTGTGGTCTGTGGGACCAGCTTTGAGCAGCCCCAATAAAGCAGAAAGTGATAAAAATCACAATGTTGGGCTTGTTGGGGTTTTTTTTGCTTAAAGAACTGTAAACAGTGAAAGCCTCAAGTCAACGCTGCTCAGCCTTTACACACAATGCTCAGCCAGACACAAAGCTGCAGGAATTCTACTGGGAAAACTGGGATCTGGGGGGAATTAAGTGCTTTAACCCTTCTACTGCTAAACACACACAAGGTATTGGAAAAAAAAACCACACGACTTGGTACAATTTCTAGAAACAGAATTACAGTACTGACATTAAAAACAGTTTCTAAGGCTCAGACTGAGTCCAAAAAGGCCTCTGGTTGGGTTCATTCAAGCTCTTATGTTTGGACTGCATGAATGCAGCATAAGAATGATTGCAGCAAGACATCCACAGGTAATTTCTACATTTATTTTTGTTGGGTTTTTTTTTCTTTTTTTCTTTTTTTTTTTTATACCAAAAAAAGTTATGTGCAACAAATAGAATTCGTACATATTTACATGGTTTTTTTACCTGTTAGCAAAATTGTATCCTAAACCTCCAAGAGAGAATCTCTCAGCCTATATTGAGAAAAGGAACATCTGCCCAATGATTCCATTTTAAATGGGTGTTGGATTTGGAGTTGAAAGCACTGGGAATAAATAGTTGATGTACAATACAGAACAAACACCTAATATTTAGGCCATGCTTAATACAGTTTTATGGAAACAGAATACTTCATCTTTTCTGGATCAGTTTAAACAACATTGGCAGAACCAAAGCCATCCAACCTCTGACTTCAGCCTACACAAATTAGGAGCAGAACTGCCTGAAGCACCTCACCAACCTCCTGGAACAACTGACACACAACAGCAGCACAAAAATGCAAACCACAGCACTCAGAAACCTCTTCACCAGAGATCTGTTGTCACTTCGGATCTCAAAAGTGCTCAGGAATGTTTCATTGGCCTCAGTGTCACAAATGTTTTAGAGGAAGAAACTTCCAGGAATATTAATTTCCTCCATGAGACTCAAATGCTTTGTTGGCCTTAAAGAGCAGCCAGTCCCTTACAGTAAGAGGATTTCAGGAATGTTGAATTCCTAAGCAGGCTTTGGGATGCTGTTTTTTGTCTTTCCGATCTGCTCCTCACAGTGGAACTTCCAACTCAGAATATTCTGTGATCCCAAAGGAATTCTGGAACTCTGAGAGAGCCAAAGAGGGGCAGGAAGAGCCCAAATTCAGAACCTCTGTTTGGATACTGTGAATTTTATCCTGTCCATTCTCCTCAATGTTGAAACCACAACAAGGGTCTCTAACACACCCCTGTCCCTTGCCAGCCCAAATATAATTTACCTGCCTTTATCCAGACACTTGCATCCTGGAAAATTTTTAGGATTTGCCTTTGGATTTTTAAGGGTAAAACCAATATCAAGCACGCATTTGCCACCACGTTTTGGCTGCGGGGCACAGCTGCACTCCTGATTTCCATCACAACCCATTTTACCCGAAGGAAGATGCTGTTTCTATCATTGGGAGCAGCAAGGAAAGAGTCAAAAGAACTGGAAGCAGAAAGGTCCAAATTTCTCCTGCTAAGATTATTCTGCCCTTTATTCAGGCCAACTGCATTTCTGAAGCACGAGAGAGAAACAGAAGAAATCGGGGCCGTTTCTAACAAATCACTTCCAGTAAAAAGTAACTGCAAGGGAAGCACACAAGACAAGAGAGTTCACAATTAAGGATCAGATTTGCAAGGTTGTGCACAAAGTGTGGCTGCAAATCCTCCCAGAGCCCAAACTCCAGCTCCATTTGCTCCCTATGTGCACACAAACAAGGACTGCAGACACCACTGCTGAAAATCTGGCCCTAAACATTTTTACTAAACAAACTGAATCAACAGACTATGCCCACACAAACAAGCACAAGACACAGTGAAGTTAACACCAATACTTTCAGCTGATGGGGCTTTTTTTTCCCTCTTTTTCCCCCCAGGAATTGGACCAAGTACTCATGGATTAGACTCGTCTTCATGGCTGCTTGCTCTGAGATAGGAGCAACTTTCAGGCAGCAAGTGTTCACCTCTTCCTTGGGTAAAAAAAAGATGCCTTTAGTGTAGATCACAGAAATGCATCGAAATAAAATCTATACAACACATTAAACACTGCTACTGCCTCAAGGCTTGGGAGAGAACAAAGCCAAGCCTTGAGGGACCAATTCAACATCATTCATTCTCCTTAATATCAAAGTGGAAGGCATTTGAGAGACAGAACTAAACATCAAGACAAGCTTTAACTGTACTCCGGTCAATACGAAACTCATTTAATGAATTGCTGGCTAACTGTGGGACGAGGGACAAGTCATTTAGTGTTACATGCAACAGATGTTACTCACACCACAGAACTCTGTACAGAAAAGCAGTTTCCACCTCCACCCTTGGTACAAACCAGAATTACTTCAGTAGTAATTGAAATATTCATTTTGTGAATTCGATCTCCAAATTTGTTTTGCTCTATGGAAACACTGCTCGTTTCACAGTCAAGTTTATCCTTAGTGTTTAAAATCCACTTACAATGGAAGTGTCTCTCTGACATTCATGTTTGAGAATGAAAATGCTAAAAGGAGTTAAATTAGTTCTTTAAATAAATGGGTATGCAATTAGAATTCTTCATATTTCGAACTGACAAGGGCAAAAAGCAGCACAGCACCAATTACAGAAAGTAGCTGAACCCACACATTTTGGTGTCACACAGTCTGAAACACAAGTATTTCACTTTTCCAAATCACATCAACCTTTTAAATTAAACTGAAAACAATACTGCTACCACTTCTCAGTCTAAAAACTAAAAACAGATCTCTTAATACTCTTCTATCCCCAGCAAGTTTGCTGGGAATTTTGTTTGTTCATTTTTAAAGCAAGGACACTTCTGCCTGCCAAGTTCAACACAAAGTATTTGGTTTAAGATTTGAAGACAGAAGGCACTTTTAACATTCAGCCTTAGAATACTGAGTGCAGAAACAACGTGTACAATTTTGTTCCTTTGTTTAAATCTGCAGTTTAATATATTTTTTTTCCCCAATTAGTTCTTAGAAAGAGCAATGATAGCACTATATCACATTTCATTTTCAGGAGCACATTGACTTACTTATCCCATTAAACAGGTTGCCCTTCCAAGAGATCTTCTCCATGTGTGTGTGTCAGGCCTAAAGTTCATTTCCCAATATAGCACAAACCAAAGATCCTGACCAAGATCAATTAAGGAACTGCTTTTTCAGTGCACTGCTTGGTTATCCTGCTCACTCAGTGGTTTCCACTGCAAATTGCAATTCTATACTGCAGCATTCATAGAACATCAAACATTAGTAACACTGGCTGGGCTGAGCACAGCTTCCAACGGAACAGCTCTGCTTGGAAATGGAGTCCTTTCAAAGAACACTTCATCCAACCCCCAATCTCCAAATCAGCTTTTCATTGACCACATGAAGCTAGTTTTGTTCTGTACAGAAATTAATGAGGTTGTCGTTTAATCAACATACTTCAGGTTTCAGCTTTAATTCCATTTTTGATACTGGAGACAAAAAAAAAAAAAAAAAAAAAAGGAAAAAAAGAGAAAAATAAAAGAAGAAAAAATGGAACCAACCCCAAGCATCATTCTTGTGAAAGCCCAACAGTGAGAGCAGCAACTCCACGTTCTTTAGAGGTCACTTCTTCCATCGTGTCAGTCGACTCTGAGCTGAACCCTCTGACAGCTCCTAACCAAACCCGTGGGACAGTGAGTTCTCCAGGGATGAAACCAAGAGTTCTAATTTTATTTACAGTGTAAGTCCTAGTCAAATCTAAGTCCATCAGCTAAAAAAAAAAAAAAAAAAAAAAAAAAAAAAAAAAAAAAAAAGAAAAAAAAATACACATACTGTAAACATGGCAACATTAAATATGGTGATGCTAGTCTAGAATATTTCATGTCATGATCACATCTTGTTATACCTGAATTTATATACAGGATATTTTATAGCAAGTGTTACCCACTTCACAAGTGGAGGGGGAAGAGAGAGAGTCTAGGTTTTGCTGTGGCTAAAACTCCTTCAAAGTAAAGTTAAAGCTTGTCTTTGATTGTTATAGAGCTTTCTTTCATAACCGCATTTAAACTGAAGATTAGCACAGAGAAATTATCTGGGGCCCCTTGAAATTTATAATTCAAAATTTCCATTATGATTCTCGGGGAGGGGGAAGGGGAGAAAAAAGTGTCTGATATGGAGAATAAAAAAATTACTGCAAAATAAACTTAATGGAAGTTGGGTCTTCAGACTGTCAGTCAAAAGTTCCACCAGGGGTTATTCCTGTTTGGGTTGGAGTTGCCTCTTCCAGGCCTCGTTCAAATAAACTAGTCGTTTGTAGTTGATGATAAAGAGAATGAAGTTCAGCAAATATGTGAGCACGCAGACAATGCAAAATTCCTTCAGCACGAAGTACAGAATGTATGCCAAGTACAGGGACCCTACTACAGACACTATGGAGGATGTCATGAGGATTAGAGCTGCTACTGCACTTGCTGTCATACCTGCAACAAGAGAGACAGAGTTACTCACCCCTCCCCACACAGAGCAAAACTGAATTCAGACTCAGCCACTCAGCAATATTACACAGAATTCTGGTTAAAATACCACCTTGAGAAACGGGTATTTGGAGGGGAGTATCTAAGGCTCTGTCTGACAGCCCTGTGGAGTTGTGTGGGATTAACCATCCTCATATTCCTGAGTTATAGGAAAATTAGTGGTCAAGTTATTTCTGTCAGGATTAACAGCTTTACAGCACACCACAGAGTTACCAAGAAATAGATATAATTATATTTCATGCACTTTTTTGCCTGCTCTCTCCATTACTCCTGCAAAACTTTCCCATTCCATTTTTATTCCCTCTCTTTTCCACCATGCAATCCAATGCCAAATATACTGGGGTGAAAATACCAGCACAGAAACTGTCTTCACACTTGGATTATTAATAGCATATCAGGAGAAAATCCAATTACTCTTCTTATCAGTTGGGTTTTTAAGTCCTTTGGACAGATGTATCATTAAAGTGATGCAAAAATAACCCCAAGATATAAAAATCAGAAGCATTTATCTGGTTTCCTGCAGATTGTGCAATGGATATTGCTCTCCTCCTGCATCCCCACAGCTCTGCTTTATATTTGAGGCTCTGAAGTGAATGAATACTTACCAAGTAGCATTTGTAGTATATAAAACACCAGGCCAAAAACACTGTTTGACTGATTTATTGCACTGTCCTTTCCAAAGATGGAACCCAAGAGACCGAATCCTCGACCCCATCTGTAAAACAGGGAAACTAATTAACTCTTATTTGGCCACCTACTGCTTTCCAGCAGCATTTTCAGTCCAGGGCTGTTGGGGAAAGAAAAGGGCACAAATTCTACTATGATTTATGTGGAGCTCTCCTGGAAAACCAAGCAGCAACAGGGGGAGCACTGGGCACAGCTTTATCCCACACCTTGCTGACTGAAGTTGTTTGACACACTAGGAAATACTGAATTCACACAGCTGCAACTTCCCTGAACACCACCTCTCCTTCCCAGGGTCGGAGTTTAGAGCTGTTTTGTCAAATAAACACTTCCTTTCCCCACTGACAGCTTTAGCAGCTCTCTGCACCGCAGCAAATTGGACACAAGGTCACTACAAAGCTGTGGCAAGGATTTGTTCCACTCACTTCTCTGCATCAGAGCAAGAGAATCAGGACATAAATCTGTACCTCAGCTGCTCCTCAGTCTAACAGCTCAGGAGGAACCCAAATCTGTCAAGCACACGAGCTGAGGATGGCACCATCACAAGATCAGCTCTTGCACAGTGTGACACTGAACCAACACCTGAAATCCCTACAAAGTGACTTTCAACTTCGCAGGGCTAAGGCAGAAAGCAGCACAAGCCCTACAAAACTGCTGCTGCAGGAAGGAGGGTGAAAGATTAAATTAGCAAGTGTGTTTGTGCCAGAAACCATTAATTCCATGCCCTAAGGCAGTTCATGCTATTATTTGTAAAAGCAAAGTGAAGACCCTATTTATTAGTGTCACTTGAAAATATGAAGTTATTTTGCTATTTCAAGGTAATTTAACTCACAAGAGCACATTGGGATATTTGCCAGCAGATTTTTGAAGCATCAAGCCAAGCACTATACAAATGTCAGGCTTGCTTCACATTACCAGCTTAACTGAGCAAGGTAAAAAAAAGTGTCATTCCTCATCCTGCTGCAGCAGGAAACTCCAAAGAAAATGCAATTTTCAGGAAGTTTCTTATCCTAGAGGCAATGGCCCTTCTGAACCAACACCCAGCTCAGGTTTGTCCCTGCACAAAGCAGGAATGTTGCTTATGTCACTCACCTGGGATCTGCCATCCCCACATCACAGTTTCCCCACAGGAAGAGGCACCACAATAAGGAGAATTTAATACCATCTCCAAAAAGTCAAAAATTAAACATACTTTCAGCTAGTTTGGTCTCAAATCTTTTAAAAGTGAAACCCTTCTGCTATTATTAAGCTTCAAGGCAGCACAGACAATGGTTTTCCAGGGGACAGAGCCTCAGCATCCCAGAGCTGCCAGACATGGAGTTGCAGGGAGAAGCGGTGCAGAACTGCCTGGCTCTCTGCTCTCATCCCAGGGCAGCTCTGGAGTTATGGAAATTACAAAGAATCTCAATTATGGTGAGATTTCCTCTCACACCTCTAATGTTATCTGGATTTTAAGAGATTTTTTAGCCTTCCTTTGATAAGATGGTCACAGGACATGTAACAATTGTCCTGTGTTGTCCAAATTCCAAAGGCTGTAGCAAAGAGCCACACAAATATATTACAGGAATTCTCATTTTTACATTTAATAGTTTATACTTATTGTTCTGTGTTACTACATTTATAGATGCTTCAACCTGCCGTGCACAGGTTCAGTTTATTGTTCTGGTCTCCAAGTGAGAATTCTTTGCAGGGTGACATTAAAATGATTTGAACACACTCAGGTTTTCCTGCACAACCCAAAGTGGGTGAAGATTCAGCATCAGCCTAACTCCAAATAACTGCAGGATGCTGAATCCATCTCTACCTGAGTGCTCAGCAGATCCTGTGGTGTCTGAGAGCAAAGGATTAAAACATCAGAAATGTCATTTTACAGAACCTGACCCTGCAGTTCTTCTGCAAGAGAATAAAATGTTGCCAGTGGAAGGATAACAAGTTCCAGCCCTTCCTGAGAGTCACAGTCCCAGAGTGATCTGGGCAGAGCTGCAAGGTCAGAGCACAGGGAAAGCTTTTTCCACATGCAGGACTTCATTAAGTGTCTTGTTGGCCTTGTAGCAGCTTTGAGGAGATCAAGTATTAAATTTCAGCCCATGGAGTCCAGGTCTAATCTCACATCTTATTCCACACACTTGGAGACAGCTAAGCAGCCTGGGTTTTAGCATAGAACACTTTTCCCAGCCTTATAAGGTTTGGAGTGGGAGCAAGTGTTCTGCATCAAACTGAAAAGCAAAGTATTTAAACTTAATATATTTACTTTGTATACTCCCTTTCCCATCTGATTTCCCTACTGAAAAGTCTAAATAGTCTCCTAATTTTATTAAGGTTGTAAACCCCACAATGAACCAGGAACTTCTGCCAGCAAGTGGAGGAAGGATAAAAACTCAGTAGATAATGTTCCTTTTCACACCAAATTCAGGTGTGAATTGCCTGATTGATGATAACTTTGAAAGTCTAAAAATGATGGCAAACAAATAGCAAGAAGAAAACAAGATAAGCTGCAGAAAATAAACTCAGAAGTCTTTCATGTAACCTGCATTTTACAAAAAAACCCGTAATTTAGAAGAAATGTTATTCATTTGCATCCATTTTTTTGGATCCAGAATGTTAAGCAAAATGACCTGCAGTAACTACAGAGCTGCTTGCACAGCAAGATAAAAGCACAGCCTGATTTCACCAAGTTTTTCCTGGTTCTGCCTGGTGGCTCCCATCCCTGAGGATCAGGAGTTTGGTGTCGCAGTCACTCCAGGTGACTCAGAGCACTCTGACAAACACATGTGCCAAACCCACTTTCACCACACCCGAGTTTCACTGCTATTAAAAAATAAAAGGAATCAGATCTAACTACAAGGAACAAACCTTTAATACATCTCTGTAACTCAGTTTCCCTCTCTATCTGCGTGTACCACTCTGAATGTTCTTTAAAATGTTAAATAGTGATTCAGTAAATCTAAAATAAAGTGATTCCTCTGCTTTCCCAGCATCTACAATTGAACACTGCAGTGATTTTCAGCCAAATGTGCACCATCTCTTATCAAAAGGAGGTTTTGGAAGTTATTATCCACCCTCTAAACAATGTCCCTTCTGGTTTGAGGTACTTCACAAAGCTCAGCAATGTTGCATTTTCAGAGGTTTAAAGCAGTGTTTGTGTGCAATTGTTGCTTGTTAACAGGAAGACAAAAAGAACTGAGGTCACTGTGCTCCACGAGTGACCTACCCCCATTAAAATCTTACACTTTTATATCACTAAAATCATTTCAATCTCTTTTGCACAACTATGATCATCCTCTGTGTTCCAGAACAGTGTATTAGGGGACACACTTGAAACACTTTAGGATAATTTAGCAGAGAAAATGCTCAAAGGGAACACAGGAACCTCATTTAGCCCACCAGTATCTCAAGTATTTTAGCAGACGAGCAAACAACCTTCCAGTTTAACAAGTTACAGGCTCTGAGTTATCAGCATTGGCTCCAGAAGCAGCAGAATTCCAAGCCTGCCAAACACACCAAGTCAAACAAACAAACCAAAAAGTGTTTATTTAGCCAGGAGTTGGATTAGTGTCCCCTGCAGCCCCTGTAAGAAATGTTTTTGTAGCCAATCCCCAGCTCTGACAGCACCTGCAGATGGTTTTAACAGGTTTGCCAAAGCTCATTCCCCAAAATGCTTTCCTTGGCCTCCGCTGTCCTTAAGGATCAGCTGAAATTTCTGAACTGGGCTTTCACCTGCACGTTTTTATACCCAGGACTGAACTAACCCCCATATTTTCATTTTAACATGGAAAGAACCATACTGGGTCAGGGCAGGTCCAGCAGATGCCTTGAACAAAGCACACAATTCCCAGGTCACATTCCAGTGTCCTCAAGGACTGCTTGGAAATGCAATCAAATCTTTCAGGTTATTCCAAGGCATGTCTGAATCCAAATCTCTGCATTTGTGCAGCAGCAGCTCTGCCAACACAATTCTCTCTCAGTTGTTGGGTTTGGTGCAATGAAAAGGGCAAACAATAAAAAATATTCTGTACTCAAACTGTGTGAAAAGAACTCAAGTTTGGGTGTTTTTTGGGTAGTAGGAAGTTACTTAAAGCCTCTCATTTCAGGATTATTTATCATCCCACGAGCGTTATTTTGTCATCAACACCCCACACCACTTTGTAACCCTGAGGAAACAATAAATCTAATTTTCTAAAGAAATCAGAAAAGGCTACACTTGATAAGTGATGTGCACATTTCCTTAAGCACCACTGGACTTCTGAGGTAATTTCTGGTCCATAGTGAAAGTTCTCAGAGGGGAGCAGAGCTCACCCCCTGCCTTCAGGGTAAAGCTCATATAAAGGTCAAAGGATCTGGAGCATGTTAAGAAACTTTGGTTGCAATTTCTTTCCAGCTTCACCAGAGGATTTTGGATTAAACCTAATTCACAGTTTCAAGGCCACTCTAATAGTTTTAATAAATTAAGTAAAAGCCTTCAATTAGAAGCCACAGAAAAGAAGATTAAAAATTCCCATTTGTAAACTTGCCAGCAGTGCTCAAAAATGTTGATACACTTAATTTCATGTTTAAATCTATTAGCAGCATTTAGCATAACTAAATGAGGTTTTCTTCTATATATCCTCCAGCTCTGTTCCAGAGTCTGTAAAAACTCTCAGTGTCTAGATCAGCAAAATATTAAGCAGACAGTGGATAATTATTTTATAGCAGCCTTTACAGAAGCACTGGCTATTCAAGATATAAACCAGCAGCACTGATTCCCTCTACATAATCTTTTCTATTAAGCTACCATAAATGAAGCCCAAGTCTGAATTATAAGCAATTTGTTAAATTTATTTTGCACCAGGCAAAATAATTCTTAGCCCTATTACAAATTCCAGTCAAGCTGGAAATGATATATTTATGAAAAGCAAAAATTAATGTTTGTGTGAGCACTCTAAGGATGGAAAATAAAAAGATTCCCACAGCAAGAGCACTGCTGTGTTTTATAAAAGATGTACCTCCCACTGGGGACAGAGAACCTTGGCTCCCAGGGCTCTGCTTTCCCCTCAGCAGAGGAGTGACTGTGCCTTTCCCTCCCTTCCCCTGTGGCACTGAATTTGGCTCCTCCAATTTCTCCCTGCCCAATTCCAAACCAGAGATCTTCCAAGCTTTCCTCAGTCAGCAAACTCAGTGAATCCAGAATCCCTGGAGAAACCCTGTTACACCTCCCAACACCTTACACTGACACTTGCACCTGAAAACCTCAAAACTATCTGGATATTTGCTTGCAGCTACACCAATGAAAAAATTCCTGGGATATCAGGAATATTATAAATATGAATGATAACTGCTACATAATGTTCTTTACTTGTAATTAAGCAAACTTGAGAGACAAGAAGTTTCCAGGAAGTGCCCCACACCAGAGCTGAATGGAAAATGACAGCTTAGGAAGGTCTGGGAAGTTTTCTCCATGTCCCACTTCCTTGGAGAATGGGGTTGTTCTTATCACCTTGATCCCTCTAAAGATGTACCGGACCAGTTCTAGCAAGGTGTGCTCTGCTGAGAAACCAGCACAGGGCAGTTTTGCCTGCAGTTCTTAGAGCAATTCACACCCACTCTGCAGAGGAACAGCTCTACACCAGCACAGTCAGCCAAACAGAACACAACCGGGGTAAATTCAGTGTTTAAAGTGATGTATGAACGTGAGCAGAACCATACAATAATACTACACCTGTCACAGGCCAGCCTTTCACACACTCTAAATTTAACTAAATTTAATTTTCAGGAACTACCAGGTGAATATTCTGGTACATCCACCCGAAAACAGAAGGCGGATGTGTAACTTGGTCTGGAGGAAGATGTTCCTGCCCATGGCAGGGGGCTGAACAAGGTGAATTTGAAGGTCCCTTCCAACCCAAACCATTCTGCCATACCAGACTTTTTCAGAACTTTGTTCAGAGTGCCTCAGACACAAGACACTAATCTGAGACTTTGCCCATGAACAGAATAAGGAACTCCAAAAATATCAATGACATCCAGATTCTCAAAATGTTACTTTGACTCTAGAACTCCTTCAGCAACCAGGCAAAGATCAATATTGACTATTGCCAAACCTCTTCACTGACGCAGCTGCAAATATTGCTAAAGATA